TCAAGGTAATCAGTAACCAGAAACCAAGGTAACCAAACCCTCCACTCATTGGGACTTAGGCTAAAACAAATCAACAGCAAGGAGGATACTCTGGATCCCCAACTACAGGATCTGTGGTATACAGTGGTACCTCGGAATGCGAGTGTCCCTGTATGCGAGTTTTTCGGAAGACGAGCAGGATTTACTCCAAAAATATGTCTCGGAAGGCGAGGGTTACCTCGGGACACGAGTTTGTTGATACGTGTACAGGCCGACTGGCGCTTGGTGGCATGGCGATCGCGCCTCAGTTTACCAGTGTCTCGTGTCCAGTGACTATACCACCTGAATTCTTCACAAGGATTTACAGTTTTTTATCGGTTTTTTGGCCATTTGAGCATAAAAGTTGTCATTATACATCTTGCCATGGGTCTCAAGAAAGCCATTGGTAAGGTTCAACCTAAGAAAATAGCTGTGAGTAGAGGCAGTAGAGGATGTCCCTTCTTGATTAAGAAAATGTGTGAAGTATGGGAAGAACTGCAAAGTTTTGTTGAAAAAACTCACCCAGATAAAGCTGTAGCAGGCCGTTGCATTGACCTTTTAAATGATAATGTGATGTCTTACTACAGACAAGTGTTAAAATGTAGGGAAAAACAAGTGTCATTAGATAAATTCTTAGTAAAACAAGCAAGTCCTAGTGGTATGCAGGCAAAATGTGCCAGAGTGTGCATACCAGTGAAGTCCTCACTGCCTGATGTGATAATGGAAGGGGACTCCCCTTCCAAACAGTAACTCCTCTCTTCCTCCCACCTCCTCACCATCTTCCATATGCCTACAGCATTCAACAGCAAGGTAAGTAATAACTTGAACATAGTTTTGTAGGTTTATTTAGATGAATTAGGTATAAAAATTTAGTTTGATGTGGGGTTTTTGGGGTAGTCAGGAACGGATTAATTCATTTCCCTTTATTTCTTATGGGGAAATTAGCTTCGGAATGCGAGTTTTTGGAATACGAGGCGTCTCCAGGAACCAATTAAACTCTTAAACTGAGGTATGCCTGTACGTTCAGAAACAGAGGGTACCCAGTGAATATATTTCACCATGCCCAGGAAAAACAAGGGAACAACTACTAAGACCACCCCCCAGCACTCACTCCGTGGTTCACCACGTGAACCATGGAGGAAGAGAGATGGATCCTTCCTACTTTATTTTTCACCGGCCTGGTGGCAAACCTTAAGAGGAAACTAATGCATATTTGGGCTTGGTTGAGGGAGACCTACGGCAAACACCCTTCATGGAATAACTTCCTCCAGGACCCATCTATGATTGCGTGGAGGAGGGGGAAGTCCCTCAGGAACTACTTGTCTGGGGCAGCTTCAAAGTTAGAAGAACCAACCCAACCTAACCTAAACCTGAATACAACATAGTGTACGTAACGAAACCCTATCCTACCCGGCCTACGAAGTATGAGAAGCGATTAGCAGGGTCCTACATTCACATTAACTAACCTAACCCTCTTAGTAATGATGACCCAACTACAAGACCCCCCTCCACATACTAAGTTTTCTCGAGGGACCCATATGAATAAGAATCTCTTTACCCGATGATGGAACTACATCCTCCTTTAACTGCCAAATCATAGTACCTATATGGGAAGTGGTTAGGAGGATCCCACATTCACAACAGGGAACCTGTACGTGCAGCTGCACAAGGCTAACATCCAGAGGAAGAACGGGGGCGAACAAGCATGTGTTTGCACTCAAAATCACCCTTCAGGTAAACCTGCAGAACGGTAGAAGTTCCTCACCACTCAAGCATGCGGGTCCGATAGAACCCATGCCACCCCCCCCCCCCCAATGAAAAGAATTGGCAGTCTGCCAGCCAGGAAGACTCCGGAACCTCCAAACGTGCCCAATACAGGGCATAAGAACCAAACTCAAATGAGGAGAGATCTATCACAGAGGCAGAATCCTGGTGTCGCAAAAGATACGCAGCAAGACCCTCCCGAACCTCCATAAGGGTGATGCGAAAACCTCTGGAATGAAGGAGCTGAGGAACCCAAGGGAACCAGGAACTAAACCTGGGGAGGAGCCGACCCCAAATGAAACTCAAACAGGATAGGGAAGTAAGAAAACCCTTCCCCCCCTGCAACAACAAACCCTGCGAAGACGGCACTAAAACCCACGCGGGATCAGAGGGCGCCCAAGCCCTCCCAGGTCAACTCCTTCCCCGCCCCGGGATCATTCAAACCAGAATCCGGGGCAGAGCCGTCCTCCACTCCCTCTACCCCTGACGAAAAAGCAGAGTCCAGGGAAAAGGCAGAAAAGAAGGGGGTCTGCTGGTAAGACCCAGAAGCCTCGGCAGGCTTCATGCTTGTAATTACCTAAGTGTAATTACCTAAGTGTAGTTACAGGATGAGAGCTACGCTCGTGGTGTCCCGTCTTCCCAGCACTCTTTGTCATATAACGCTTTGAAACTACTGACGGTCTTGGCCTCCACCACCTTCTCACTTAACTTGTTCCAACCGTCTACCACTCTATTTGCGAAGGTGAATTTTCTTATATTTCTTCGGCATCTGTGTTTAGCTAGTTTAAATCTATGACCTCTTGTTCTTGAAATTCCAGGTCTCAGGAAGTCTTCCCTGTCGATTTTATCAATTCCTGTAACTATTTTGTATGTAGTGATCATATCACCTCTTTTTCTTCTGTCTTCTAGTTTTGGCATATTTAATGCTTCTAACCTCTCCTCGTAGCTCTTGCCCTTCAGTTCTGGGAGCCACTTAGTAGCATGTCTTTGCACCTTTTCCAGTTTGTTGATGTGCTTCTTAAGATATGGGCACCACACAACAGCTGCATATTCTAGCTTTGGCCTAACAAAAGTCATGAACAATTTCTTTATTATATCGCCATCCATGTATTTAAATGCAATTCTGAAGTTAGAAAGCATAGCATAGGCTCCTTGCACAATATTCTTTATGTGGTCCTCAGGTGATAGTTTTCTATCTAGAACCACTCCTAGATCTCTTTCTTTATCAGAATTCTTTAAAGATTTCTCACATAATATATAGGTTGTGTGGGGTCTATGTTCTCCTATTCCACATTCCATAACATGACATTTATTAACATTAAATTCCATTTGCCAAGTGGTGCTCCATATACTTATTTTGTCCAGGTCTTCTTGAAGGGCATGACAGTCATCTAAATTTCTTATCCTTCCTATTATCTTAGCATCATCAGCAAACATGTTCATATAATTCTGTATACCAACTGGTAGATCATTTATGTACACAATAAACATCACTGGTGCAAGAACTGAACCCTGTGGTACTCCACTTGTGACATTTCTCCATTCTGATACATTGCCTCTGATTACTGCCCTCATTTTTCTATCAGTCAGAAAATTTTCCATCCATGATAGAAGCTTACCTGTCACCCCTCCAATATTTTCCAGTTTCCAGAACAACCTCTTATGTGGAACTCTGTCGAAAGCCTTTTTTAGGTCCAGATAGATGCAGTCTGTTTTGTGCCGCATGCCTTTTATGTAACCAGTATTTCATTTCACTCTCGCTGTGTATCAAGGTTCTTTTCTTGGTAACCTACACAAGCATGAACAAACAGCTGGCCATGCATACCAGCTGGCTGTCTGGATTGTATCCAAGAGTCAAATTGGCAGCTATCCATCCTGTTGAGAACCTCATTCTCTCCTTTTTCCAGACAGGGAGTTTTAGCAGATTCTGTTGGAAGCCCGAGCAGGGAGATTTAGCAGATTCTGCTGGAAGCCCGAGCAGGGAGATTTAGCAGATTCTGCTGGAAGCCCGAGCAGGGAGATTTAGCAGATTCTGCTGGAAGCTCGAGCAGGGAGATTTAGCAGATTCTGTTGGAAGCCCGAGCAGGGAGATTTAGCAGATTCTGCTGGAAGCCCAAGCAGGGAGATTTAGCAGATTCTGTTGGAAGCCCAAGCAGGGAGATTTAGCAGATTCTAGTGGAAGCAAGTGTAGTTTTTCAGATACTCAGCTAAAAGTTGCAACTGCCGATGCAACTGCAATTGCATCCATCTTGCAGCAGCTTGGTGTCTATATTTCATGAGCTGTCACTGGAAGTATCTTTTTCTGGTTGCTTTTGTCTGCTTGCCTTGGCCTGGTTCTCCTGTCCCAGCCATTTGTGGACACTAATTCACCTTGTTGTGATGCTCAGCTCTGGCATCCAGCCTCTCCTTGGGTCGCTGCACTTGCGTGGCCTTCCTTTTCAGACCTTCCTTTGCTGGGCCTTCCTTTGCCGGGCTTTTGCTTACTGGACCACTTTTCTTTTGCCAGACCTTCTCCTGACTATGCCTTTCCTTACTGTGCCTTCCTTTATCAAGCTTTCCCTTACTATCACATTACTACCTCATTTGTGGACTGGAGCTATATCTTCGGGAGCCGGTCGGCCGAGCGGACAGCACACTGGACTTGTGATCCTGGGTTCGATCCCGGGCGCCAGCGAGAAACAATGGGCAGAGTTTCTTTCACCCTATGCCCCTGTTACCTAGCAGTAAAATAGGTACCTGGGTGTTAGTCAGCTGTCACGGGCTGCTTCCTGGGGGTGGAGGCCTGGTCGAGGACCGGGCCATGGGGCACTAAAGCCTCGAAATCATCTCAAGATAACCTCAAGAAGATAACCTCTTGTATGAAGTTAAAGTATGCATCTTCTTAAGGTTATCTTGAGGTGATTTTGGGGCATAGCGTCGTAGCAGCTGTCTAACTCTCAGGTACCTATTTACTGCTAGGTGAACAGGGGGCATCAGGGTAAAAGAAATTTTGCCCATTTGTTTCTACCTTCGCCGGGGATCAAACATGGAACCTTAGGACTATGAATCCTGAGTACTGTCCACTCAGCCGTCGGGCCCCCTGGCATGGTAGCAAGTGTAACATAGTAACTAGTACTGTACTGTATAGCACTCAGGCACAGCCAGAGACCACAATAACTGCTGGGATATCCAGCCTGGTTTTAGCTGGATATGGGGAGAGAAGCGTTTTATGCACCTACCTGACACACATGTCAGACAAGGTGAAGACAATATTTATCTTGAGAGCTGGATATTTGGTCACATCGAGCATCTTGCCCATGGCAGGAATGATACGTTTAGCTTGGTCCTCTTGTTGCAGACACATCTTGCCCAAAGTGACCACAGCTAGTGCCTGGAAAATTATGATTATCTCATTATATAATTACTTCTTAATAACTGTGAAAAGCAAAAAGAAATAAATCATGAATATCCAGAGAATATCACAATAATGTGGCTGAAAAAATAACTCAACTCCTACAAATGAAATGAAATTGATGATGTATGGGTCTGCCTTTGATCCTTATCAAGTCTAGGCACAGCAAGAGTGGAATAGGGAGTTGATATTATGCAAGAAGGAAAAATGAAGTAAAAGGGTAACACAGATAAGAGCTCAAATTTTATTCCAACTAGAAATAAAAGTTACCTTGACCCGTATGGTGGGTGTAAAGGTAATCATGGTGGGTTGAGAGGTGTGCATCTGCGAGGACGGGACAGCTGTGAGGGCAGACTTTTCTCCAGGCTGGTGGAAAATGAGGCTCTGAAGCATGAGGAACATCCTATTGTTTACTTTCTGTGGACACAGCATAGATGCCTCCCCCAAGGTGAACAAGTACCTGCAAAAAAGCCATTCACAAATTAAATAGATATACTGTACACTGTATTATGTATATATAAATACAGTGGTACTTTGGTGTATGACTGCCCTAGAGTCCAATTTTTTTGGTATACGATGTCAAATTCATCATAAAATTTGAATTGTTGTATGACGTTTTCCTTGGAATACGATGTCTGTTGATACATGTTTGGGTCGAACAAGCGTGTGGTGCTGGGGCGTGGGGCGACTGTCAGTATCGTGCCTACCCACCCAGTGATGATCGCGCTTAAATTCTTTGTAAAGAATTTCATTGTTTTGTGCTTTTTTAGTTTCTGAACCTAAAAGTTTTTATGCTATGAGTTTTTTATCATGCTATGGGTTCCAAGAAAGTCAGTGGTAAAGTTCAATCTAAGAAAATAATTGTGAGGATGACGATAGAGGAAAAACAAGAGATCATTCGTAAACATGAAAAATGGTATGCGGGTTGTTGATGTCCCTTGCTCATTAATTAAGAAAATTTGTGCTGTATAGGGAAGAACTGCAAAGTTTTGCTGAAAAGTGTCACCCAGATAAAGCTGTAACAGGCCGATGCATTAACCTTTTTATGACAATGTGATGTCTCACTTTAGACAAGTGTTAAAACATGGGGAAAAACAAGTGTCAATAAACAAAATTTTAACGAGACAAACAAGCAGTGAGCCACAACCAGGTCCTAGTGGTGGGCCTGCAAAATGTAGGAGAGAGAGAGTACCCTAGAAAAGTCCTCACTGCCTGATGTTATAATGGAAGGGGACTCTGCTTCCAAGCACTAACACGTCCCCCCTCCCCCCAACCTACTCACCGTCTTTCATACACAAAAAAACCAGCGTTGAATGTAATGAAACGCCATTTTTTGGGTGAGCCCTGCAGGCTCCCTGGAGCTAATCGGGCTAATGTATGTTATATTAGACCGGGACATTAGCTAAGGAGTTCAGACCTACCAGGGACCAGCGCCAGAACCTGGCCCCTTCAGAGAGGTTTCAGGGAGCAATGGCCCTGGAAAACCCCCTTGTGGTTGGGGTTTTCCTTATCTGCCATCGACCAGGGTCAGGCACCCAGAAAGGTAGGCATAACAAAACCAAGCCCACATGGTAAAAAACTAAAACAAAAAAATGAACAGAGAGGTAGATACTCCCTACACACCCATGGAAACTAGCAAACAAGCAAACATCACACTTTATTGCCGCAGAGATCGTCCGCGCAGCCTCCCCCGCCCCGAGAGGGAGATGGGGAGCCCCGGACCTACTGCGCCGGCTACCAAGCTTCAGTTCGGAAGCTAAGCTTCAACCAACGCGAAAAAACCACCGACCGGTGGGAGGAAGGGTTGCCAGGGAGCCTCTGGGGCTCACCCAGAAAATGGCGTTTAATTACATACAACGCTGGTTTTCTGTGGGGAGCCCCTATGGCTCCCTGAAGCTTCATACCCAAAGAGAAGGAAAAGAAAGGGCTAACCCGGGAGGCGGCCGCCACAAACTCCGCAACGCGATGCCGAGACAACAGGATGCAACCTGCAACCCAAGGCAACAAGAACGCACAGGAGCAGACGCGCATAAAGAATGGGCGGCCAAGAACCTATGCGACCCTCAATTCCCTGCACCCAAAATGAGCCCTAGACGTCACCAACACAGCAGCAAAAGCTGCAAACGTCCGAACAGCACGGGCGCAAAGACAGACCGCAGGCTGGTAGGCTGGTAGATTGAAAAACTCTGCGGATGACCTGAGAGACCCGAGCCCTGAAACAGGGAACGAGGGGAACCGGATCAAACTAAAGCACATCCCCAGACATGGTACACAGGTAACAGCAAAAAGCACAACCGGACAACACAGGATGCACCCCAGGCTAAACCAATCAAGCATCAATAACCCAAGAACCCCTCTGGTAACCAGCCGTCTCGACTGTCGCCAGGACGGAGAAAGGCTGCACACATACAAAACTACCGGCAGTACCAAGAAGCAGAAACCTGAACCGATGGGGCTACCACAAACTGAGAAGAAGAAGGCACCCTGATCAAGGACCAGGACGGCGCAGGCGACGCATGAGCAGGCTGGAGGTGAAACAAAACACGAGAAAGCGTACGAAACAGGGCAGACGTGACGTCCACCCCGAACGCAAACCGGAGCGGCTCCACCAGCACCGCATAAACAAAAGTGAGAAGGTGGTGGAGGCCAAGACCGTCAGTAGTTTCAAAGCGTTATATGACAAAGAGTGCTGGGAAGACGGGACACCACGAGCGTAGCTCTCATCCTGTAACTACACTTAGGTAATTACACTTAGGTAATTATAAAACGAGGCAACAGTAAGAAAACATCAATTAACTGTAGTCCAGAAAAACCCAAGAAAGGACAAGACAACTCGATGCGAAAGAGAAGACAACGTACAAAGAGCTAGAAAAAGTGCATAGAAACACCAGGAACGTCATACTGTCTCCAAGACGAAGCTCGCAGGTGGGACACCATCAATAAGGCCACCTGAACACCACAGAGATGGTGATACCCGCGTCAAAATACCAGACGCAAAGAGCCGAGGAGAAGGCCGAACAAGTCACGTACAGGACCGATCCGACCTGCCGAAAGAGGCGGAGCCGCGGGAAAACGCCCCGGGTTCGGACACCTATCAAACAGCGTCTGAAAAGAAGCTTGGGCTGGCCACCAAGGAAACCATAAGGACTACTCTGGTGGGAATGGGCTGCAACCGAACCAGAACCCAAAGCAACAGCTGGACCGGGAGAAGACGAACAGATACCCCCACCTCGACCAGTAGTGCCGAAAAGCAGCCAACGTGAACGCCTCGCAGGCGGGTAAGGGCCCCACATAAAATGGACGACGCCTAGACCATGCTGACTCGATGAACATCCATGGCCAGGAGTCCATACGTCCGGCAGAGCCAACGAAATGAGTCGGTGACGACTGGCCAATCCGTGAACAGAGGAATGAACCGAGACAGCTTTCCGCCAGGACGCATGACACACCCCGGACATGAAATTCACGGTTAGCCAAACCCCGAGAATCCAGCAAACAAGCCACTCCGACACGCAGCTGCAGTACCAAAACTGTAGCAAAACGTCACCACACTCCCCGAGGAAGCGACAGAGAAGACCTAAATCGTATACGAGTGGCACACAAGGGGACACAGGCGGAAACCAAGCACCCAACTGAGCCAAAGGGACGGTAGAAGAAATGTGTGCAGTATAACAGGCAATCAAAGGAACACATTAGGCAGCCCAACATGGGCTGACTCCGTACACAGCCCCAAGAGCAGAGATGAGAGCGCCCAAGAAGCACAGAATCCGCCCGACAGGCAAACGACAGGGGAGAGGTGGAACCAAAGAGCCAGAACCCAACCTGCAAACACAAGGAGGCGAACACAAAACCTCCGACACAGGAAAATGTACTACCAAACAGGCATCCCCACTGTTGCACTGCGGAACAAGGTGGAGGCGGGGCCCCGAACTCAAGCAAGGTTAGACAAGCATAGGGAGAGGGGGCAGGAGGAGTACAGGCAGGAGCCGCCTCGGAAGGGCCAAGAGGCCACCCGCAGACACCCATGAACCGAGGAAAGAATCAGGTGGAGAGAACAAGAGCTGCCCCTGTATGGGCTAATAGCCCTGCAGTTGGCACCTCGGGTGACACGGTCCACGTTCTCAAGTACGTATGTACACCCATTCCTACTTCCAAAAACAAAAACAGCGTCAGGATGAAGGAGACGCCAAACCGCACCAACTCACCTGCAGAACATAGGCGCTGAAGGGCCATGACGCAGCTTTCGAGTCCATAGCCGCAGGAGGCGGCCAGGGCGCCCATGTTGGAGAGGAGGGGAGCGGCGAAGGAGGCTCCCCACCCTAGAACACAGGGAAAAACCTTGTGACTTCCCCACAGCGGCACCCCAAAACACCCCCAAAGCAACGGGGCATGGATTGGATTAAGAAAAGAGCGAGAGGCGAAGCCCGCCCGAGAGAAAATGGATGCAAAACACGTCTGCACACCACCCGGAACCAAAACAAACTCCCACGGCGCAAGTGCAGGACGCGAAAGAAAAGTAGCCCAACAAGGCGAGAAGTAGCCCAACAAGGCGAGAAGTAGCCCAACAAGGCGAGAAGTAGCCCAACAAGGCGAGAAGTAGCCCAACAAGGCGAGAAGTAGCCCAACAAGGCGAGAAGTAGCCCAACCAGCTACAAGGAGCCCAACAAGGCGAGAAGTAGCCCAACAAGGCGAGAAGTAGCCCAACCGGCGACAAGCAGCCCAACCGGCGACAAGCAGCCCAACCGGTGACAAGCAGCCCAACTGGCGACAGAAGCCCAAACTGCTACAAGGAGCCCAAAACGGCGACAAGGAGCGCAAACGGCTACAAGGAGCCCAAACGGCTACACAGAGCCCAAACGGCTACAAAGGAGCCCAAACGGCTACAAAGGAGCCAAAACGGCTACAAAGGAGCCAAAACGGCTACAAAGGAGCCCAAACGGCTACAAAGGAGCCCAAACTGGCCAGAACAGAAGGAACCAGTATGGAGGCAAACTCCGGGACATGCAGGAGGTAAGCCGCAAAGGCCAACCGCACCGCAGGCGAAGAGATGCGGTTAGCCGAAAACCTCTGAAAGATGGAACCGAAGAAATCACAGGGACACGGAACCGAACCCGGGGAGGAGCAGAGCCCAAACCCAAATCGTACGCAGAGGGGGAAAAAAATCCCACTCCTCACAACAGAGTGTGAGGAGTGGACTCGCCCCGCTCAGAAGGACGGAAATCCAGGCGGGGCGCAATGGAGCCCAAGGCCCCCAAGGTCGCTCCTCCCCAACCCCAGGAGCCTCTACACCAGGCCCCGGGGCCGAGTCGACCTCCAAAGCCCCGACCCCACAAGAAAAAGCCGGGGCAGCCAAGAGAGCTGGAAGAGAAGGGGCCCACTGGTCAGACCCCGGAGCATCGGCCAGAGGAACAGACTCGAATGCCTCTGCAGCTACCCCGGATGGGGTAACCCCCGAAACTG